TGACACGACCCGCGCTGAATCCGAGGCGACGGATGGGATCGCCGAGGCCGGCAGAGGCCGACACGTGGCGTAGGAGGGAATGACAGCTGGCAGGTCGGCTTGGTGGCTGACGGTTGGGCTTCTTCATCCCGTCCCGTTTTTTCCCGACTGATCAAAAAGGCCCGGGCTGGGGGGCTCTTGGTAGGGAATATCCCGACCGACATAGCTTCACCACGACCGAGGAGCCTTTTGTCTCTTTCTCCTTGTCTTTGCAGGTAACAGGTCGGGCTCCACGAGAAGAACCCGGTCGTAGACCGACCGGAGTTGCCCGAGCGACGGTGTCGACCACCGAGCGGTAGCCCTTTGGCGAAAGAGCTGACGAAGGACACGTGGCGGCTCTTTACATCGACAGGCAGGGCACCCGGGAGGATGACACGTGGTGGCTACGTGGAGGACATGCCGAACGGCTGGAATCCTGTCCCCGGCATAGCGGCTATAAATACCCACAGTAGCTACAGTGTAAGGGACTTTTGGACGATCGATAGGTTGTTGCTAGAGAATCCCGACCGCACTCAGTCGGTACTCAGAGCAGCCAAGTAGATTGTACTTAGGGCCTTTACCGTGATCAATAAAGATTTTACTTGCTTTAATTGGTCTCGTGTTATTTTATATTGCTTACGTATAATTAGCAGTATCAATAATAATAATAATAATAATAATAATAATAATAATAATAATAATAATAATAATAATAATAATAATAGTCTTGGTACCCGGGTTGGATTTTCATTTGAAAGGTTGTGAGTTCGAGCCTCTGTGGAGGCGTTATTGGTTCTTTGTGTTTCAGTAGGTTGAGAAAGTATATGAATAGATACTACATTGTAATAGAGTCAGTAATATTCAAAATAATAATAATATAATTAAGCCAATCATATTAACTACTTGGGCGATTTATTGACAAAAAGAGTATTCAAATCACACAACAAATTGAAGTGTTCTTGTTTGACAATCAGCAGTTAGCTCTTCAATATTAGTATATATTTAATATTTTATGCCCTAATTTTTATTTGCTCTCCCTTATGTCCCGTATTTGATTTCAACCATACATATACAATTATTTTATTGACAATTATAATCAATCTTGACTATATTATCTTGCATTTGTAAACTTAGAATTGCTTATTTAAATACACAAATTTAACATTCAATTATCTATGCATGAACAACTCCAATATAATCTTGCCTTGATATACCTTAAAGTACTTATTTACAAAAAAAAATATTGGGCATTATCCCAATCGCGCAATGCGCGCGTAAAAAACTAGTACATATCTATAAAAGTCATAGCAAAAATATTATTGTTATGAACCATAAAAAATAAAAAAAAAATAAAAAATAAAAAAAAAATAAAAAATAAAAACCTAGATTTGCTGCTGTTTCGAGCAACAAGAGACAAAATCTTGTTGTTGTTCGCGGGAAAAAGAGATTGTTGCGAACAACAATGAGATTTTTCAGTGTTGTTTGTAGCAAAATTTTATACAATAATTTTTAATTTTATGTAATAATAGGATCATAATTAATATATGTATTTTTGTTAAGTTAATTTTTTTTTTCAATTTATCACAAAAATATTAAGGAAAATGGCGAGTTTGGTCGCAGAGTTTAGCCGTAGCGATGACTCAGTTCCTGTGTTATTATCGTATCCATTTTTAGTCCTTCAGTTATGAGAGAAGTGGTAAGTTTGGTCCCTGACGGTAGTGGTGTGTTGACAAAGTTAATTCCAGAGATAAAGAAGTAAATTCTTTAATAAAACTTAAAAATTTAACTAAAATACTTTCCCCTAAATCGACAAAAGCCCTAAGTTGCTTATGTAATCAAGGAAGAAACCTTACTCCCGTTTTTCTAAAAAAATCAAATTTCAATATTTCAATTCGATCTGTTTATTAAAAAAAAAAACTGAAATTACAATTTTTTGACAAATACAAAAATTTGCTCCATAGCATGGACAGGCTTGGTATCTATTCCTCGAAAATTATCCCAAATTGAGAAAAAAAATGAAGTACCACAACTAAGATATGACATTCTATAATTAATGACTAAATTAGTTCATCAATACGGAGAATATTGATTATTTATTTAAACATATAAAACAGAGGAACAATGTGAAAACCAAAAATTTAATTTTTATAAATTCGATTTTAAGAAATTTCAAAATAGTCATTTTCACTCTATAAAAATTTTTGCGATGAAATCGGTGTTTGAATAAATTATTTTGAACTGCTTTTAAATAAATTCAACACCGGGACTTATTTTAAATCTAAAATCCTAAATTCTTGGGTACATTGCGTACCATGTTTCTGATTCGAAAGTCAGTCAGAGTGAAACCGGAAGAAATGTGAGAAATCTAAATTAAGTGATTGTCTAGAAAGTATTTTTGAAAAATGTATTTTGAACCCCAAACTATTTTAAATTCTCCTTTCTAGTCTGTGGTTCATGTTACAATGTGGACCACAAGCATCCTAATCCTATTACTCTTGTCTGATATGTTAGAAGCCAAGCACAAATTTACCCTTTTGCCCTCCACCAATCATGAACATTTCTCTTAGGGTTTTGAACCCTATATAAACACCACTTTTGCTTTGTGTTTTTCCTGATCTCCTCCCTTACCTCTCCACTCTTGACCTCTCTTGAAAGAAAGAAACAAACACAGTAAGTTTTAGCATTCATCTCCTCCATTCATTTTCCATCCTAAGGTTTCCTTCCATCTTACATATCAATCTTTAAGTTTTGTTAGGCATGGCTTGTGTTGTTGTTTGAGGTGTCTTGGTGGTGAATGGAATGGTGTATGAGTAGAGTAGAGGCTTAGATCCACACAAGGGGGAAGAATAAGAAGAAGAGGCAAACTCATCCCGACCTCTCCATTGAATGTGCAAATCCTCTCTTATTTTTAAAATTTTATTTAGTGATTCAGCCCGTTTGATTAGCCCAACAACCCGCTGTTTAGGGTTATGGTCGACCCAACTCAAAAAGAAAAAATAAAAAATCATTTAGCTCAAGTTGACAAGCCCAACAGCCCTGCAGGGCTAGTCCAATACCCAACGGACTGGCCCATTTAACATCCCTACCTACAGGGGCAAATTATGTTGTGCATCTGTATGGTGCATACGGATGCAAAAACGACGTCGTTTTATTAAAAACGCGCGTCTCCCCTTATAAAAAAAAATTCAAGTTCGATTCCCAGCAATAACATATGAACTAAAATTCCAGAATCGATGAACTAAAATTCCAGAATCTAATCTATGAACTAAAAATTTCAGAATGAATGAACTAAAATTTCAGAACCTATGAACTAAAATTTCAAAATCGATGAACTAAAATTTCAAAATCGATGAACTACAATTCCAGAATCGATGAACTATAATTCCAGAATTAATGAACTAAAATTTCATAATCTATAAATAAACTAAAATTCCATAATGAATGAACAACATAATGTTGTTGCTGGGAATCGAATCCGGATTTTTTTTAAGGGGAGACGCGCGTTTTTAATAAAACGACGTCGTTTTTGCATCCGTATGCACCATGAATGATGCATATGGATGCATAGCATAACTACTTCCTACAGGGTTACAGACTACAGTAAATGTGAACATTGAATATTACACGGGCCGGCTCAACAATCCAGTGAGTTAGCCCAACTCAATCTAATAATCCTATAAGGCCAACCCAATGAGCTTATTTTTTTATTAGATTGATTTTTTTAGATTTTAGTCCTGTAATTTTTAGAGCTTATTGGGCTAGCCCATTAGTTCAGGGCTAAATTGACATCTCTAATTATGCATTCGTGCAACTTCAAAATCCTATAGCTACTAGACAAATTGTAATAGTCAAAATTTCTATAATCAAGCAAAAGATATACATTAAAGATTAATACAAATTTAAATGTGCATGTACAATTACAATTTCACCCCTGTAAATTAATTTTGGAAACATGAATACCAAAAATAAGGAAAATCTGATCCAATAAAATCTCTTTGATGGACGATTTAGATATGTTCTCATATTCTCATGTGAAAATGTATTCTTTTATATAAAACAGAAAAAACTATTACTTTTAAAATAATTGAGGGACTAACGTAGATACACAAATAATTCAAAAAGAAAAAGCACTGTAAGCATATAATTCAAGAGAAAAAATGTCATTTTCCCAACTATATTTTTTCTTTTTGGATTTAACACGTAAACCAGATAACTTTGATATTCTTCCCTCTTCCAAATTAGATAACTTTGATATTAATAGTCAAGCATGATATACATAAATCTTCCAAATTAGAAGAAAGTTCATTCCAAGCTGTTAAAACTGTTGAACAGTAGAAGGGAATTTTTAGAAAAATTCACATCTATAACAAGTATTCCAGATTACAACCATATATATAGACATAAAGAAAGCATTAGATGCTGCATGAGCAATTTAGTTGGTCACGGGGGTGAAGTTTAAGAAGAATGACTAGGGATCGAATCTCACCAACGACAGTGTGGGAGCAACCTCTCAAAGTGAGAGGGCTCCTTGTGCGCAGTAAACAAAGGTCTAGCCTCTGTGTTCAGCTCAGTTACCATGATTTACGTCCTCCTCGGGGTGTGGGGGGCCCTTGGCCCTTGGAGTTGGGGATTCTTCAACCTTTGGGAAGAATAAAGAAAGCATTAGAAAGGTGCATAATAAATATAAAAAACTACTCCTCTTCTCAAGGCTATAACTTTCTAGAGTAAATATGGCATATTTTCCAACATTTCCAACACAAGCAAATTGTAGAAATGACTGTTGTTACCTCTTAGACTGAATAGAGATTTATAACCTGATCAATCATCTGTCGACAAACAGGGCAATCCCCTTTCCTGCTTTTGATATCATTTGAGCATGCCAAGCAGCCAAACATGTGACCGCAGGGAACACATGGTCTGCCTCAACAGGAGATTCCCAACATATTATGCACAATGGAGAATTGTGTAGTTTATCTGTTTTCTGTAAACCTTCTTGCTCATCTACAGGAGAAGACGAGAATTCCACTGGAGTGAGATCTATGGTTGGATAATGAACTGATACTGCCTCGGGAGCTGGTGGAGCTGAAGGCACTGCAAAATCTGTTGTACGGTGTATACCGTCTTGAGTTCCACTGTTGTGAAAGAGTTCATAGTAATCTTTCTAAGATGAAACTGAAGAGAATAAATCACAAGGTCACAAGTACGAATCCCAGCCTCCTTAGTTTGAGCCGATCAGCAATGGACAACCTAGGCTAGTTTACCTCTTTGTAGTCCTTTGCTGGCCTAAAGTCACAAGGCAGGGTTTACCCAGTGTACACCCTCGAGTAGTAGCTGCGGGTTCCCTCGTACCCCAAAAACACAGCATATATGTAGAATGTAGTAATGTGGTCCAATTCTGCTGTTTACCTGAACACCAATGCAAGCTTTGTATAGAAGTGAAGTTGATGTTTGTCGCCGTGGCTTCCAGATGCAAACTTATACTGAGATTCTGGTATGGAAAGTAGAGGGTGAAAAAATAGGATAAAATTAGAGTTAATTCCAGCAATGGTCCTCCGACTATAGTGATTTTCCAAAATTAGTCCCCGACTTTTAATTTGGACACTTTAGGTCTCTTGACTTTCAATTTCTTTCCAATTGAGGTCCTTTCGTTAGAATACGGTTCATTAGACTTTAAATGAAGGGGTAAACTCGTCCTTTCACCTGCCTATGTATTATTCTTCGTATTTCTCCCTTCGTATTTCGCTGTTATACCTTGTAAACATCTCAATAATAGAGGAACGCACACACGAGTAGTCAACAAATGGGGAACGACGAGGAACATTTTAGGGTTTCGACTAAGATTATCTTCATATGTATCGCGTATACAATGAAGAAATACTAAGAATAATACATAGGCAGGTGAAATGATGAGTTTACCCCTTCATTTAAAATTCAATTAACCGTATTCTGACGAAAGGACCTCAATTGGAATGAAATTGAAAGTCAAGGGACCTAAAGTGTCCAAATTAAAAGTCAAGGACTAATTTTGGAAAATCAATATAGTCGGAGGACCATTGCTGGAATTAACTCGATAAAATTATTTATTCCAAATCACAAATGAAATTAGTTGTTTATTAAAAACTACGTGATTACTAAGATGAGTTACTTGTGGACTTGTCAGATATTATCACTGCAGGATCCAGTTGTTGGAAATTTGGTTCTTCGACATTGGTCCTCCATAAAGAAATGACAGTCCGAGGTTGGGCATCCTGCTATTTAAGGAACTTAACATTCCAGCGAAAGTGAAACGACAAAGCTATATCTATAGATCGTATGGAAAACTGGGATAAATGGGCATAAGGTTACTGCATATAACAATAATATGGTGGCAATAGATACATTCAATACCATTTGAACGCTTAGACCATTGCTAAAGCAAAATAGGTTAAATAGTGTTACAAATAAAGAAATAAACGTGTACGTATATAATGTCAATTTACAATCAATTACCTGTAAGGAAGAATATATTGCCAGTTCCAGTTTAAGAGGCTTTGTAGAATCATGTGGATCAACTACAGCCCAGCTACAATATTCAATATTAAGCAGAATCAGAAAACAATTTTAGTACCTTAGTAACAGTAGCCTTATCAAGACAATCGTACTAACATCTTTCTTGATAACAATTTATTAGGAGCTAACACTTCAAGAAAGCTTGGGCCATAAAACTCTCTCAGCCAACCCGAGAAAATACAAATGTGGCTCTAAAATCACAAAACAAAATCACAGTTCAATCATCAAAATACGCAAGTACGCAAAGCTTTGGATAATTTCATATACGTACGCACCTCAATGGTACGCACAACGTTGCTAAAGCCCTTCACCCGAGCAACTTGAAGAGGAGTTTGGGAGTCATCATTCTTAATCAAAGCATTTGCTAAAGGGAAAAATTCCGAATGGTTAACAAAATTCAAGGAAAACGTAAATATTAGAACAGCCAAATATCAGTGCCATCATAATGATGAATCATCAAACTAACAAATTATACTATTATCCCTGCCTTCAGATATGTATAACCATACCTCCATGGAAAAGAAGCAACTGAACAATATTATCGAGACCTCTGCTAGCTGCATGGTGCAGCGGTGTGCCAGCATTATGCCCTGAAGCAAATAACCACTAAATATCATCAAAAGTGTGAAAATCAAAATCAAAATCAAATTACAAATCCACAGGGCTTCAATGTTGTTCTCATATCATGGATTGACATATATATAATTTAAGTCAGGCAGACCGATCAAACTCACCAATATCCAGTGTTGCAAAAATCCCGCCTAATCGGCGCCTAGGCGCTAGGTGCTGGCCGCCCGCCTAGCGTATCACCATATTCGGTGGTCTAGGCGGCCGACTGGGCCGCCTAGGCCTCCTAGCCCTAGGCGTGGACAAGGCCGCCTAGGCACCGACTAGGTCGCCCAGTCGGCCAATTAGCTATTGTTCCCTTCTTTCTTAAATGGGTTATTTCACTCAAAACGACAAACGACATCGTTTTGAGCGAAATAACCCTAAATATGCTGGAATGGAAGCAGTTGAATAACATTGTCTGAATTTAAGTTAGGTAGACTGATCAAACTCACCTATATCACAACTCAATTAAAAAGACCTACATACTTCATTTCTAAAACAACTGAGAGTAAATTGATTTCACCACACCACATAAACTCCATCAGATAAGGTACAAGAATTGCCCTATCCACATACTCCTATTTTTCTCAAATAAACATAGAATACCGGGCCGATAGGCATTAACATCAGCACCAAGTTCAATCAAAGTTCTAGCAGCCGCAAAGCGTTCGGAACTCATGCAGGCTGCCATTAATGGAGTCTTTCCCTCTCTGTCTACCCACTGCACAGTAAGCCTCTTAGCAATTAACACTAGAATTATTACAGTCGCTGACATACTAGTACTAGTTATAAAAGAAGAAGAAGAAGAAAAAAAAACTGTATATACCTCAAGGCTGGCGCCATCTCTACGGAGTGTGCTGATAACTTGGATGTTTCCATCGACGGCATGTCTGTACAATAACTCGTCTTTGGATTGCTGTTGCCCCATGTTAGCTTTTCTTACGGAAGAGATTGCTTTGTGGGTTTCGATTTATTGGTGAAGATAGAGAGGGAAGAAATTGGGAGCAAGATTGAAGGCGCCTCACTGCCTCAGTATCATCGAGAAAGATAGTTATTGCCATGCCATTTTAATTTTATATATAATTCACCGTACAAGTTTTCAGCTTTGCCGACCTTACTCTTTTAAGTCCAAAATAAAATCATATTTGGAACGGTTAAGAGTGTTCCAAGTTCCAACACCTCAAACAGCCAAAAATATTCTTTTGAATTTTATTGCGTTTGGGGTGGTGTAAGCATACGGCATTGGCAATGAGGTAACATCTTTAAGGGGGCGTTTGGTTCAGGTTATATAACATAACCAAGGGAATGTGATATTCCATAGCTTAGATTTCTATCTAACATTCCCAAGGAATATCACATTTCCTCCACATAGGATTTTGAAGGGAATGTGATTCCCTTCAATTTCTTAGGTTATGTAAGATAACCTTGGTTATGTTAGAGATATTATAGTGTGTATAAAAGATAACCATAAACCAAACATGATTATATTACATACCCCAATTTTAACCAAACACAGGAATCTAAGATTCCCAGTAATCTAACATTCCCAGCAATCTAACATTCCCTAAGGTAATCTGACATTCCGTGAACCAAACAACCCCTAAGGGTTATGATATCAATGCATTGCTAAGCACCTTGTGTTCAGATAACATTTTTGTGACTTTTCTTGAGGGAAAGTCACAGGATCAAACCCCAATAGTAGGGTGTTACTCTTTTGGTTGCAACAAGTAGAGAAAAAGTATAGAATAGATACTACCTTGTAATAGAGTCAGTAGTACTAAAAAAGAATGATATCAATGCATTGCACTACTTTCTACCTAGGACTCTTGAACATACACGTGTAATTCATGAACTGGTCGGGATGGCGACAATCATACTTATCCCACGTGCCTAGAATATTCTAATAGATTGAGGAAGGTGATGTGACTATATAATCTATCCGGGCTATATTTCTCTTTAGCAATCAAATCTCGTGCTCGGGTAAGTTCTTCCCGAACACCGAGAACTCCTCCATGTTATGGCATCAAAGATTATGTTATATCTCCCTTGAATGTATAAAGAGATTAGTAAATGATGCGGTACTTAGTACTCTTGATTATACTGATTTCGAGACTTATATAGACTGTAGCGCGCGAACCAGTCTAAGAAAGGTGTGAAAAGGAATTCAAACATATTAGAAATCATACATACTGACATTTGTTGTCCAGATATGGATATGTCAGGTCAAAAGTATTTCATCACCTTTATTGATGATTATTCGCGATTTACTTATGTGTATTTGATTCATAATAACAGTGAAGCATTGGATGCCTTCAAGTCTTTAAAGGATGAAATTGAGAACCAATGTGGGAAACAAATATAGATAGCATGATCCGATAAAGGTGGTGAATACTTCGATAGATTACAATGGATAAGCACTTGGTCATTTTGCTAAGTTTCTTCAAGAGGATGGGATTGTTGCCCAATACACCACGCCTAGTTCTCCGACCAAAATGATATTGCTGAAAGAAGAAATAGAACGCTTATTGACATGGTGCGAAGTATGCTTAGCAACTCAAACTTCCTAAGTATTTGTGGGCCGAAGCACTTAAGACAGTCACGTATATATTAAATCGTGTTCCAACCAAGGTTGTCCCAAAGACACCTGACACACACGCTTTTTCACTTCTAAATAAGTGCGGTTCCAGATCAAGCGTGGTCAAAAGATTGAAGTTGTATGTGATTGGGATTGTTTCCAAAGATGTTCAGTTCTATGAGCAGGTATATCCACTAAAAGAGAGTCACTCAGCAGATAGCTCAAAGCCACCTGAAACTGAGATGTTCAACCCCACACTGCCTTTAGTTCCTATATCCACTAAGATAGACATCACCCCTCTGCAGAATTCCAACAACATTGCACCTCATAATGTTGTAGTCATGGAAGGTGATGATAACATGGATAATAAAGTGATGTCTGGAATACACAATGATCTAGGGACAAAAGAAGAAAATACAGTGGAAGAAAGTTCTGCTCAGCCACAACCTAAGAGGTCAGAAAGGACAAGTATTCCTGCTAGATTCCAGGACTATTAATGTCATTCAGCAAGCAAGTCTCATGCCAGAACATCCCCATATTCTATTAGCAAAGTCATATCCTATGAAGGTTTACCTCTTGGTCACAGAACATGTGCTTCATCTATCTTCTCCACACATGAACCCCAATCATATACTGAGGCAGTGAAAGATGAGGCATGGAGAAAGGCAATGCAATCTGAGATAGATGCTCTAATTGAGAACAAGACTTGGGTTTTGACAAATCTACCAACAGGGAAAACACCAATTTGATGCAAATGGGTATACAAGGTGAAACATAGATCTGATGGATCCATAGAAAGACACAAAGCTAGATTGGTTGCAAAAGGCTATACTTAACAACTAGGGGTAGACTACATTGAGACATTTTCACTTGTGGCTTGGATGACAACAATCAGAACATTCTTGGCCATGGCCATTGCAAGAGGGTGGGATGTCCAGTAACTAGACATCAATAATGCCTTCTTGCATGGAGATCTAGAAGAAGAAGTATATATGATCTTACCCCCTGGAATCAAGAATGAAAGGCCAAAACAGGTATGCAGATTGTTGAGGTCCCTATATGGCCTAAAACAAGCCAGCAGACAACGGAATGCCAAGTTAACAAGGGCCTTGCAAGATAATGGTTTTAGGCAATCATCAGCAGATCCATCCCTATTTACTAAAGCCTCACGTGATTCATTTATTGCTATACTCATATATGTTGATGACATTCTAGTTGCTGGAACTAATGCCAAACAGATCGCTCAGTTGAAACAGTATATGGACAAGACCTTCAGAATAAAGGATCTTGGCGATTTGAACTATTTCCTAGGGATTGAAGCCTTCAGAACCCCTGATGGCCTCAACTTATACCAAAGAAAATATGCATTGGATCTTGGAAGAGAATGGCTTTCTGGATGCCAAGCCTACACAAACATCAATAACTGCAGGGCAAAAACTCAACAGTATGGAGGGGACTCTTCTGGACAAACCTGAGGAATATAGAAGACTAGTTGGTAAGCTTCTCTACCTAACAAACACTAGACCAGATATCTCCTATGATGTACAACAATTGAGCCAGTTTGTGGACAAGCCTAGAAGTACACACCTTATGGCAGCTCACAGGGTGTTAAGGTTCCTCAAAGGGTTTCTTGGAAAAGGACTATTCTTCCCAGCTTGCTCTCAACTTAAACTACAAGGGTTCTCTGACTCAGAAACTAGGAAATCAAGCACTAGTTATTGCATCTACCTTGGACAATCTCTAATATCATGGCAAACAAAGAAGCAGGTCACTATATCTAGGTTATCTTCTGAAGGAGAATACAGGGTTCTAGCATCCACAACATGTGAAATCCAATGGCTCCTATACTTACTTGCAAGCCTTGGAGTAAAGCAATATTGTCCAACTACCCTATTTTGTGATAAGCAATCTGCCATTGCAATAGGAGAAAACCATGTGTTTCATGAACGCACTAAACACATTGAGATAGATTGCCACATAGTAAAGCAAAAGGTATGTGAAAAGATGATCAAGCTAATGTCCATACCTTCACATAAACAAATTGTTGATGGCTTCACCAAATCCTTGCCTAAACTGAGCTTTGAAAATTTCCATTTTAAGTTGGGCCTGCCTTCAAGACATTCATGCTCCATCTTTAGGGGGGGGGGGGGGGGGGTTGACAAAGTATATTGCACATGCTACAAACAAAAAGAAGAAAATAGCCTAAGGGCCTTCTTGTAAATATACTTCTAGCTTCTATTATAACTATCATGATAGGGTATATAGCAGTAGCTTTCCAAATCAGTTGAATGTAACTTCCACACACATCATTTTCCAATCCTAGTTTTCTTTCTCCCAACTCCAGCTCTCTGTTCTCTACTTCTTGCTTGCCATGCAGTGAGCATATGCTGAGTTTTCATCAATAACATTTGTTACCAAAGATATGAAAATACTTCAAGTTGGATTTTCATCCTTCCAGATTTCATATGCTTTTTGAGCCATGCCGGTACAAAGATACACTCTATTGATTATAAGTTGTGTGAACTGCCTCAACCCAAACAAAAAATTGAGGGAGGTGTTTACTATTAATAAGACAAACCATTTCCCAAATCATTCAATGTTTTCATTCAGAAACACCATTCTGCTGATGTGTGTTCAGAGTAGAGAACTCATCTCATAGCCCATGTGTATCACAAAAGTTGTTGAATTCTTGATTTTCAAATTCTCTTATGTGGTTTGACCTTAGTTTGACAATCTTGATAATAAGAGTATTCTTTTCCTTTTGAATTCTTAAGCTTAGTGTTTTGAAGACTTCGAAAGTTTCAGCCTTATCTCTAATAAACATCACCCATGTAAAACGTGAGAAATCATCAACTACATTTATGTATTTTTTACCACCAATGCTTTCAACTTGGGTTGGCCCTATCAAGTCTATATATGGAGCATTTCCAAGCATTGTGAGGTGGCAATGTGCTTGGGATTTGTAAGACTTGTGTGGTGACCGAGTCTGTTTCCCAAATTGACATGGACCACATATGCTTGGGATTTGTATTTTAAACTTTAGAGCACCACATATGCAATCTCCATTAATCAGTTTTCCATGTCATGATAATTCATATGTCCAAGTTTTTGATGCCACAAATATGTGCCATATATGTTGTGTGTGTCGCACTAATTTGTTAGTTAAAATATAACAAATAACTTGTTGATTCTAGTGATCTTTGACAACACAATGATCTTTAATTGGTAAAGCTCACATTCAGATCAACTACTGCTAATCACATACATAACTAGCTAATGTTAATAAGATTTGCTCTCATACCTTGAACCAACTGGACATGTTCCAACGGTGGTAGTCGTGGAACATTTTGAATACCAATAGAATGTATTTGTCTTTTAATTCCGTCTCCAAACGTTACCTTGCCTTCACTTGGCTTTACATACTTAAGATTGCTCTCATTTCCAGTCATGTGATGAGAACAGTAACTATCAAAATACCAT